GTGTCTTGGATCATTGTATTGCAGAGAATAGCTAAGTCATTCATAGTTGATCATCATAAAATATTGCTGTTACTGTGTACAATGTTCCTCTGGTTCTGTTCACTTAACTTTGCATTCAGTTCTTGTAAATCTTTCCAGGTTTTTTTTTTTTAAAGCTTCCTGTGCACCATTTTTTATAGCATAATAGTATTCCATCACATCTTGTCCAACCATTTCCCAATTGATGGGTATCCCCTCAATTTCTAATTCTTTGCTACCACAAAAAGAGCTGCCATAAATATTTTTGTACTATTCTTACAAATTTGAATCAGTCCCATGTAGATATTGTAAATGATAGACTGTTATCATAGAAACTTGCTGAAAAGATTTTTCCTAGTTTTCTGTTTCCCTCCTAATTTTAGAAGTTTTGTTGTGCAAAAGCTTTTACATTTTATGTAATCAACATTGCCTATTCTATCTTCTTTGATTCTCCTGGTACCTTACTTTATTAGGAACGGTTCCCCTATTCATGTATCATATTTCTTCCTTGTTGTTGTGTTTATGATGTTACCCTTTATGTCTAAGTCATGTGTCCATTTGGAGTTTATCTTGGAATACAATCTGAGATGCTAGTCTTTACCTAATTTCTGCCACATTGCTTTCTACTTTTCTGGTTGTTTTGGTTGAACAGTGAATTCCTATCTAAGTAGCTGGGGTCTTTGGGTTTATCAAACATTATACTACTGTGTTTGTTGGCTTCTGCTTGTTGAGTTCCCAGTCTGTTTCACTGCATGACCTATTTCTTAACCAGTAGCAAATCATTTTGATGACTGCTTTAAGTATAGTTTGAGATCTGGTACTGCTAGGCCTCCTCCCTTCCCACTTTATTTCATTATTTCCCTTGAAGTTCTTGACCTTTTGTTCCTCCAGATGAATTCATTATTTTTTCTTTCTAGTTACATAAAGTAATCTTTTAGTAGTTTGGTATGGAATCGAATAAGTACATTAATTTAGGGAGTATTATCATTTTTATTATGTTGGCTCAGCCTACCCATGAGCAATTGATATTTCATTCTGTTTTTATTTGTGTAAAGAATGTTTTATAGTTTTTTGATATAGTCCTTTTGTATGTCTTGGCAGGTAGACAGTCAAGTATTTTATATTCTCTGTAGTTTTTAAAATTCTATTTTATTTTCAGTTCCAAATTCTCTCCCCCTTCCCAGCTCATTGAGAAGACAAGAAAAATAAGGCCCATTTCTGTAGTTATTTAAGTGGAATTCTATTGCTTTCTGCTAGGTTTTGTGGGTAACATAAAGAAATGCAGATTTCTTTTTCCTAGTTTGGTCCTGGACTTTCAAGGGTCACTTACACATGGATACATAATCGCTTCCTATTTTTGCTAATAAAGTGATAAGTTCAGTTGTTTGTACATTGTAGAAGTGAATATAATGATAGTATTTTTGAAAACTGAGCACCCTCGGACAAGGTCCAAGTTGATTCACCCCAGTCATGGCTCTGCTACCTCCATACAGAAACCACACAGCACAAGGCTACTCCTTCCACATGACAGACCTTCACTCATTCAAAGACAGTGATCCTGTTTCTCTCTGCCCTCTGAACCCTACCCCCACTAAATCCTTGAATGACATGCTTTCCAGACTCCTCCCCATTCTGGTCACCCCTAATCTGGACACACCGCAGTCTGTCAGTGTCTGTCCTTCTGAAAATGAGGTGCCCAGGTTTGATTTTCCCAACAAAATTCACAATGGATAGCTTGGATCTTACAAGCAAAGTAGGAGTCAAGGTCGTTTATTAAGAGATAAGGTGGGAAGTGTTGGTGGTGGGGTAAGTTGAGGACTTGAGGAGAGTGAAAAGAGGAGTGTAATAGGGATTCCAGAAACACTGTGTTGTCCAGGAACAGAAACAGAGAAAACAGATTTTTTGGGGTTGATTCAGTCTTGGGGATTAGCAAAGTGAGTCCAACAAAGGGCAAAAACATGAAGGAATCTTCCCCGAGGGTTTTTCAGTTTTCAAAGAGGATCACAGGCAGAGAGTGACATTTAAGCTAAAAACCTGAATCACTATTGTGGAATTAGTACAGTGGTGGCATGGTGTGCCAGGTAGTTTGGGAGGGTTACCTAGGGCTGGAGGGTTCCCAGAACCCCTCATATCACATCACTGCTTACATCTTTACCTCTGATGTAAGAGCTCAAGTTTGGGCACCTTCCCAGCCCCTCCCTTAACTGTGGAGCACATGCAGGCTTGCAGAGGACTTGGCAAGCATGAGTATTGCCTCAGCCTAGTTGGAGGAGGGAAGGAGCAAGGGGGTATGAAGCATTTTGTAATATTAAGTTAATCGATATTAGGTGGTCGGCAAGGAGGTAAGGCCTACCGGTAGCCTCTGGTCTTTCACACCAGACCTGTAGATTGATGGCAGGGGACAGTTTCAGCTGTGGTCATTGTATGTATGGTCGGTGCCTTTTCAACCTCCCAACAAAGAAATAGAAATGGCACATAAGAAGAGACTTGATGGAATTGATTCTGGATTCAGAGGACTAGGTTCAAATGTGATCTGTCTTTACTTTGTGACTGTGGACACGTCACTTTTTGGGTCTCTGGGCCTCAGTTTCCTTATCTGTAAAATGAAGGGATTAAAATTTTAGGTTTCTAGTCATTAGATCTATAAGGGCAATGGGTGGTGTGTGTGTGTGTGTGTGTGTGTGTGTGTGTGTGTGTGTGTGCGCGCGCGTGCTGTGAGGTGGGTGGGTGGGGGAATCAATGGGGAAAAATTAGGGGAAACTTTCCCCAGTAAATCCTCTTTTATAAATTCTGGTTTTGGGCATGGCAAATTCAGGTTTTGTGTGCCATAAAATAATAACGACTGATCCTTTATATAGCCATTTAAGGTATGCAAAGCAATTTACAATCGCAATTACACTTAATCCTGGAAGTAATTTTGTAAGCTAAGTGCTACAGCTATGATCCCCATTTTATAGCTGAGGAAACTGCAGTTCAGAAGTGTGACTTGTACATGGTCAGGTAGGATCCAAACCCGGGTCCATCACTCTCCTAGCATAGCATTCCATCATACAACACTTAGAGTAGATATTGACCAGAAACACCACCTTGGTTTCAAAGGTTGTTGGAAATCTTTCTAGAATTCCCAAATCTCCTTTCTTGGCGTTTGTCTCTATGTCTTTATTCTGGTCTGCCTCTTACTTTTGTGTATCTAATAGTGACTATAACAGCACTTACCCTCCACGCCTATGTTCACTCCATAGTCTCCTCCAACACCCTCAATATTACTATGTTTTAACTTCCTGTCTATCCCAACTCAAAGGCCACTTGCACCAATCAGCTTCCCTGATTCCTTCTCCTCCACACCATGTGGCAATGCCCTTTCTTCTCTATGGCCCTCCGGAAGCACTTGGTTCTTATGTCACTTACAGGGTGCTATTCTTCTTTACGTGGCGGGAGGGGGGGTGCTGGGGTTCACATCCTCTTCAGATGTCAGCTCTGGGGTGCTTACCCTCAATTTTATATCTCCCCAGCACCTCTGCTAAGTGTTCTGTATACAACAGGCCCTTAATGAATGGCAGTCATGTTGAATTCAATTTCCATGACACTGTTTCTTGTTCCTACTATGTAGGCTATTTCTATTGATATTAACTGTATTAGAAATGGAAATGTCTTACCATCATTATGAAAAGTTTTGTCCTCATCCCCTTAAAGCATCCCAGGATACCCACATGTCCCTCTACCACATTTTGAGAATAATAATAGTAAATAGCTAACTATGTGCCAAGGTAGCTAGGTAGCTAGGATACAGAACGGGGCCTAGAGGCAGGAAGACCTGAGTTCAAATCCAGCCTCAGACACTCACTAGCTGTGTGATCCTGGGCAGGTCACTTAACCTCTGTTTTCCTTAGTCTGCTGGAGAAGGAAATGGCAAACCGCTCCAGTAACTTCGCCGAGAAAATCCCACGTGGGCATCACAGAATGAGACATGACTGAATAATAAGACTACATGCCAGGCACTGTGTTAAACATTTAGTCCTCACAACAACCCCGGGAGGCAGGTGCTGCATTTTGCAGATGAGGAAACTGAGGCAAATAAATAGTAATGAAGTGACGTGCCCAGGATTATGTGACTATTGTCTGAGCTTGGAACTCAGATCTTCCTGGCTCCCTGCCTGGCACTCTTTCTACTAAAGAGGGGACTATTGCTCTGCCGGTTGTTTCTTTTATTTCTGTTTTTGTGGGTTATCTGATTGCAGTCTGTACAGCAACCCTGTTTTACTTCAATCTTCTCATCTGCCTGAAGCTCAAAGGGGCGAATGAATTCTGCTTAATAAGGTGGTTGACGTTTGTTGTTCAATGATACTAAAGAGAACCCAAGCCTTTCGGGCACAGCTCTGTCGAAACTGCTTTCTTCCTTTATATCTACTTCTGTGGTCATCCATTTACAATGTGGCAGAAGGAATATAGGGTTGGACTGGAAGTCAAGGAAACCTGGGTTCGAATCTCACCTCTGCTATTTATAGCTGTGACCCCAGACAAATCAGTTCACCTCTCTGGGCCAGCTTCCTTGTGTTTTGGTGTGTGGGCAGTAATACCTCTATACGCTTACCTCCTGGGCTATCTCAAGACCCAAGTGAGATGATGTATGTAAAGCATCATTTCAATGTCAGCTGCGGCCATCTTGCTGGCCTGGCTGTTCTAGAGATGGACCTCCAAAACTTTGCCTCTCATAATCTTACCCATCCTTTCTATTTTTGTCCCTTAAAAAAACCCCAAACAACCCTTTCTTTGTGTTTTTAGCTCATTCTTTCCAGTTGTTTTCCTCCTCCTCCTTCATCCCTTTATGTGGTCTCTCTTGGTGTTTCTTCCTCTATCTACAGCTTGTCTTTCTTCATCTGGTTCTCTTTTCTGGTTCCCATTCATCTCTGCCTTCCTGTTTTTACATGCCATGTTTGAGGGGCAGTGCAGTAGATAGAGCACTGGCCTCGAGTCAGGAGGACCTGAGTGCCACGACCGGCCAAATGTTTGATTCCATAGAATATCCACCCCATCCGCCAGGAAATAACCTGCACGGGTGAAAGGGGGGTAGGGTGCTGAGCTCCAGAGACCCCAGCCTCAGTCCCCATGGGGTGGAGAGAGAGGAGGCATGTCCCTGGAGTTCAGCACCCCGGCTCCGCCTGCCCCACTCACCGATGGACAGAGAGACCAGACAGTCAGTCCTAGGTGGGCAGCTGTGGGTGAAATCCGAGATCAGATGTGAGTGCTGGTACATCCTGGGAGAGAGGGACTGGGCAGAAGGTCAGAGCCCGCGCCTCCGCCTGACCCCGCTTGACCCCTCCGCTCTCTCCGGGGTCCCCCCCTTTAGGCTGCCGTGCCCCCGCACCAGAGCAGCGCCCCGACCCCGGCCAGCAGGCTGTGCACGAGGGAGGCACAGATGTTTCTCCACGTCCAGCGGTCTCGGGTGTCGGCGAGGCGCGGGGTGGGCAGCAGCTCGAGACTCCGGTGCAGCCCCCTGAACGCAGCGAAGGAGGCAGCTGCCACCACGAGTCCGGCCGGCGCCATGGAGGGACGCCTGTCCGCCCGTCAGTCCGTCCGTCCGCCCGCCCGCCCCCTTCCCCCCGTAGCCGCCGGACTCACGCTTCCGCTCCAGCGCTTTCTCGCCCCGGCTTCCAAAGCCTCGGAGAACTTTTCTGGGGCTTGGCCACGCCCCCATGCCCCGATCTTCATCCCCATTGGCTTCCCCGCCAGGAGGCCGCCTCCGTAACCACGGCAACCCGCCGGGTCCTGCCCTCGCGTGGGGGGGATCCCCACGTGCACCCTCTAGATTTCGGGGGCTCGGAACTTCCACTGGGATCCACTCGGAGGTTGGGACTGCGTGCCTAGGACCGAGCTGCTAGGTAAATGGGCTTCCGTGTACCAAATCCACCGATGGCCGGAGGACCCCGCCCCTGCACCTTTTGCTTGGTTCCCTTGCACACCACCCCCACTCCTGGCTTCACCCTTTCCCTGGTTTAGCCTACCGCGTCATGCCTCTAAGGCAGAGGTGGGGTGAACCTTCTGCCCAGGACACCTGAGCCTCACCACCTCCTCTGCCCTGCCTCTTCTCCCGGGCTAACACCCTAGAACCCTGCCCCGTTTCAGTCCCTCGTGCCGGGAGACCCCCGTGCCCAATGGCACCATCAGACTGACTGGGCAGAGGGGAGGGAGGGTCCAGGGTCAACTTCTTAAAGATCTTCACGGCCCCTTGGGGCCTCCTCAGATTACCATGGCGATATAAAGTCTGGTGGAGGGGATGGAGTTCAAATCCTGCCTTAGACACTTTACTAGCATGTGGTGCCTAACCTCAGCCTCAGTTTCCAGATCTGTAAAAGGAGTTAATAGTATCTACCTCTCAGGGTTATCGTGAGGATTAAATGAAACATGTCAAGGGCTTTGCAAACCTTAAAGTTCCATCCACTATGATGAGGATGGTTTAGCAGCCCTAGTTCTGAATGCATAGACCCCACTTTTTCCTCAGTCCCACGCAAACCAAAAGCCTGGGCAGGTGTTACTTCAAGTCCACTGGCGTAGACACTGGCTGACCAAGCAGTTAGGGTCAGAGGTAAAATGAAAGACATGAGTATTTGTGGGTCAGGTGGACCACCCATCTCCCTCACAAAGGGAGGGCAAAAGTGGGAGAAATCTAATCTCCACAGATTGAAATCTTCTCGAATCATAGGAATAGTCCCTTCAGCTAGAGGAGAAAGAGCCTCCTTCCCCCAAACCATAAGTAACAGGAAGAGAGCAGGAGTGCTCAGGGTATGGTTAAGGTGCTTTGGCCAGGCCCTTGTTGGTGGCTGGGCAGTGACTTTGGGACCAGTTGGTGCTGGTACCAAGAAAGAAGGAATGCTCCTAACCCTTTCCCAGCCTTCACCAAGGTCTGACCCTTTCCCTTTCATAAACACCTCTTGTTTCACTGTGCTTTCATGAATTCTTTTCTCCCTCAAGGCCCTTCCTGAGGTCCATTTTAATTTGATTTCACAAGGATAAACATGCTTCGGAAACGAATCACACAGAATGCTTTTCCCTAACCCCCACTCACGTAGGGACAAGACCCTGTGAGGCGGAATCATAGGGGGATGGGATGAATTTGTAAGGGAGCCAGAGTCCCAGCCCCTAGCCTTGGTCAGGAATGGCTGCTCCTGCTCCTTCCTTACCCGAGTTTGCCTTGTTTGGAGCCCCCACACCCCAGCCTGCCATCTGGTAGGCAACTTCCATATCTACGCCTAGGGCTAGTTTCAACATCCAGACCAGTTTCTAGGGCTGGACACATGCCGGCTTTCACCACCCATCCCCTGGGGTGCTCCGCCACATCCATTCTTCCTCAGGTATCTCTGTGTTGAGATCGATGGGGAAAGGCTGGCTCTTCAGGACAGGGAAGGTTTTCTCTGATTGGGAGTTGAGAACTTAGCAGAATAAGGCTAGTCAAGCCCTGCCCCACCTTTTAGAATAAATGCCCCTCCTCACTCTGGCCTCTCCAAATCCAATCCCATTCACCCTGACCCCTCAGAATCTCAAGCTCTCTGCCCAGTAAAGGGACTATTGGATTTAACTCTTCCATCCCCCAAAAGGCAAATAAGTCTCCCTGCCCATCAATTAATTTTTTTAATTTTTGCTCCCCAGCTTCCCATTCCACTCGTAACCCTCTTCCTGAAACCACTGATAAATACAGATTCCTTAGCACCATTACAACTTGAAATTTGAGCCACAAAAAGAATTGGGCAGAGGCTAGAATCAGGCCAGGCCATAGATGCCAGGGCTAGAGATTGGTTCTGGGACCAACAGACCTCCCGTCTTCTGCCCAGGGTGGTTGGTTATCCTCTCCATCTTAGCCATTCTGGTCTTGGGAGGTTCCTAGGACCCAGGCAAAGAGTGCTCTTGACATTTTAAGAGTCATGCTTTTCCTCATTCTGGGAACCCTCCACTCAACCTTGGTAGCAAGGAGTAGCAGTCTGGACATACCAGCTACTTCAGACTCCTACTGTGGAGTGCAGTCTCTTTCCTGGTTTGGAGGCTAGGTAAATAAAGCAGAGAACAAAATTCTCTCACACTACCCTCCTCCCAACGACCCTTTGAGGGTGGATAGCAGCAGCCATGAGTACCTGAACAGTCTGCCCTTCCCCTCCAGCCCCCACTGGCCTCCCTACAGGTTCTAGGTATAGTCTATGTAAGACAAGAGGATGGGGTTCAGAATGCACACATATACAAACACAATCCTCCTCTAAATTTATACAGAATCCTTTCAATATTTTTTTTCCCATTTTTACACTCACCTTAGTTTTCATTGATTACTTGGCCCCCACTTCCCACCCCCTTCATAAAGTCAAACAGGGTACCTAGTCCTACAGGGATTATTAGAAGCCCAGAGCAACCCTGAATGGGCATAAGGGTCTGATAGGAAGATGTTCATCAAGGGTGGCTCTGCCTTTCTCTTTATAAATGAACCTGCTCTGAGTTTACACCAGGAGGTCAGCAGGATAAGGAAAAGTGCCAGAAACACAAAGGTCAACCAACAATCGTTTATTAAGCACCTACAGTGCTAGCAATATAAAGACAAACAAGAAGCAGTCCCTGCCCTCAATGAGCTTACATTCTAGAGGACAATGAGGAAGAGAAAAAACCCGTACAAAAACAAATACAAAGCAATCGTGTAATTACAACAGCAGAAAGTGCTAATAAGTGAGGGGAACCGAATGATCATACATTTAGAACTGGACGGGAAACCTCAGGTAGCTGAGCGTGAGTCCTTTTCCCAGATGAGGGGTGAAGCTAACTTGCCTAGGATGAAGCAGTGAGTATCCTAGGTGGGATATGAATGCAGGTCTTTCTGACTTCGAGCCCAATGCTAGTGTCTAGCCACCAAACCTGAGCAAGGCAGGCAGGAGGGGGCACCTGAGTTGGTCTCTGAAAGAAGCTAGGGATTGATTTGAGGAGGGAAGGAGGGAGAGTTCCAGACTTCGGGGGCCACCTGTACAAAGGCAGGAGATGGAATGTTATGTACAGGGAACAGGTAGCAGGTCAGTTTTACTGGAACAGACTGTTCAGGAAGGGAGTCAATACCAAATAAGAGTCCCTTCAAAAAGGAGGGGTGGTAGAAGGGTCCCACACCCTTAAGGCCTTGCAGTACTTCAAAGGTGGCAGTGCTTTTCATAACCCTAGGCCCTCAGGCCTCCTCCCACTGCCGAGTTTCTTGGGCCCTGCAAGAGGATGCCCCCCCCCCAACTCAAGGTTCTGGGCCCTCCCGCTACCCCCCAGGCCTTTCACCTTCTAGATGGCAGGGCAGGGCCGCGGCTCTTCCTCAGTCCTCGAAGACAGGAGCAGAGCTCAGCAGTTCTTCAACTGGCAGCTTTAGCTGGGACAAGACATAAAGCTCGCCACTGAAGAACTGCTGTGGCTCGGCCAGGAGTGTGTGTGGGGGCACAGGATCCTGGGGGGGCGGAGGGAGGAGGGGGGAGAAGAGGGAAGAAGCTGGTCAGAGCCATCCTGGGGCACTAATTGCCAGGCAGGGCCATGGTCCAGTTGCCACCATCACACCTTTTCGAGGCCTTTCCCCACCACATCACGTCCCTAGCCCATAGTAGGACTTTTAAAGTAAAGGGCACTACAGGAAAAAAAATCAACAGGCAGCATTTAGCTCAGCAGCACCCCCAGTAACCTGGCCCAAGGCCCACCCATGGTGACTCCCAAGAAGAGGGATGCATGCAGGCCCCAACCTCTTCTGCATTCTCAGCTGGGGGTGGGGGAGGGCAATGAAGCTGGGGCCCTGGGGGACAGAGCCTGGCAGCTGCCGAGGCACTAGGTGAGACAGGCTCTTTGGACTCAGCGGTCAGCCCAGGGGCCTCTTCCTGAGAAGTTCAGCTGGGTCTGGAAGGGGGTTGGTAGGGGCCTAGAGTAAGGGGAAGGTGTTTTGGAGGGGTAGGATGGGGGCAGGGTTCAAAGACTTGGGAAGATAGCAGAGTAGCAATGTTCTGAAAGGGAGGGTGACTCAGGCTAGGGGCCTGAGCAGAGGGCAGCAGGGGGCGGGTGGCTGGGCAGGTTCCCCAGGCCTCTTGGATGCCAGGCATTCCGCTTGCGCATTCCGGGTACATCTGGTATGAATTCCAGGCTGTCTGCCGGCCCCTCCGTGTCTGAACTTTGTTCCAAGTCCCAGGCCCCGCCCCCAGGTTCCAACGCATGAATCAGCAGGAAAAGCCATGGCCCTGCACCACGGCCCAGGGAGGGGGCTGGGGGTGTGGCTGGGTGTCGGGAGTTGGGGGCCCCCAGGCCCAGGCTTACTCCAAGGGCATGGCCCCTCCCAGGGTGTGGAGCTATCCCTCCAAACCTAAAGTACTCAGTAAAATTCTGCTTCCTCGGGTAGAAAGAAGGGCAGGTAGCCAGAGGCTGTGGGTAAAATCCAGCACATACATTCTCCAGAGGAGAGTTAAGAATGTGCCCTCTGTACCAAGCTCTCAATCGCCCCCTCCCCCCCAGCCTTTCAGCTCACAAGGCTCTGCTGCTGGCAGTCCTGAGCCAGGCAGGTGCCC